TCCTTCTGCCTAGTCCGCCATCTTGCCCCGCCTCCCAGCATACATTTTTGCATACAGCTTTTAGAAGTTTTTTTTGTATTAGGATAAAGTTCTGGAAGTGGGGTTCCTGGACCCAAAGCTTTGTTATTTATCTGGTTCTGTGAAACTACCATAAGGAGGCTCTGGTGGTGCAGTGCCTAAGGCATTGGACAGCTAACCACAAGGTTCATGGTTCAAACCCACTAGTCTCTTCACAGAAGGAAGATGGGGCAGTCTACTTCCATAAAGAATTACTGCCTAGGAAACCCAGTGCGGGTCACTGTGAGTCAGAACTGACTTGGTGCTGGTGGGTTTGGTTTTTTTTGGTGTGGCTGCCATAATGCTTCCTAAAGGAGTTGTGCCATTCTGCATGCAGAAAATTGTCAGCATAAGCAAGGTACGAGAAGTATGTAAGCCAGATTGGCCCTGAAGCAGATACAGGATTTAGATTTGAATGAGGGAGGTAATGGTTTTTTTTCTTCTCCCTTTAGCAGTTTGAGCCATCCAGATTTATGTCCTATAAGTGTTAACATTATAGTGGTTTCCTAGTGGAAGACTTCTTTCCTAAGGTCTTGTGTGTTCTTTTTCGCCATAGTTCTTAGCTTTGCTTCTCAGAGCATAAAGGAAACAAACAGGTGTAGTTTCTTTGTACATAAAGTTAAAACAGAATTTAACAAAATTGTCCCCTGGCTAATTTGATAACCATGTGGTACCTTGAGAGTCAACCTGTCCCTCAGGTCTAACCACCCATTTACCCATTTAGGGAGAAAATCAAGGAATCAAGGAGGTCTTCTGAAGAGAGCAAGAAAATACCTAGGGATGATAGACTCTTCTAGAGTTTATTCATGATGCAGTTTAGTACAAATTCTGGCACTAGTAAATAATTTTGGATTCGGCTGAATTCATACAGCAAAAATACAAAGTTATTTAAAGTTAGTGAATAATTATACAGAATAAATTAGCAGAGAAAGTTCAAACCAAGTCTCATATGAGTTAGGAATTTTCTAAAGGAAGGAGATGCTGAACCATGCATTTCTTTAAAGGGCTGAGTGATTGGCTTTTTGCCAGCACACTTGATTATGGAATGATTTTTCCTTGAGAAATTGAGGGAGTGTGAGTAGTGTACCTTCTTTTTGGCTATGCAGTCAGCCCAGAATTTCCAGGTATTGAGGTTTAGGGCCTGCCAGGCAGACTTGTTGCTGAATATAAATATCCCTCTTCTACCAACCTTCCTAGGAGCTCTGGTGGCATAGTGCCTAAGGGATTTGACTGTTAACCAGAAGGCTGGCAGTTCAAACCCACCAACCACTCCTCAGAAGAAAGATTGGGCAATCTACTTCTGTAGTGATACTGCCTTGGAAACCCAAGGAGGGGGTCACTGTGAGTTGGATCCGACTTGACAGCAGTGAGTTTGGGTTTTTTTTTTTTTTTTTTTTTACCTACTTCCCTAGCATTTTAGAAACTTGGGATAAGTTAGCTGTGTGATTTTTTTTTTTCTGTAGTGCAGGGAGTTGTGCACGGGTGTGCTGTCTGCATGTGCATTAGGGTGATGAGCATGCAGTAAAGATAATGCTGGACAGTGGGATCTTGGTGGTAATTAATTCTGTTCTGTTTATTTTATAGCCTTTGCCAGCATCCAGCCATGGGGGACATGAAAACCCCAGATTTTGATGACCTTCTGGCTGCTTTTGACATCCCAGACCCCACCAGCCTTGATGCCAAGGAGGCCATCCAGACCCCCAGTGAGGAAAATGAGAGTCCTCTTAAACCTTCAGGCATGTGTATGGATGAGAGTGTGTCCTTGTCTCACTCAGGATCAGCCCCAGATGTGCCAGCCGTGAGTGTCATTGTCAAGAACACTAGCCGCCAGGAGTCATTTGAAGCAGAAAAAGACCACATCACTCCCAGCCTTCTACACAATGGATTCCGGGGCCCGGACCTGCCTCCAGATCCCCATAACCTGGGACACAACTGTGGGAAGTTCGACTCCACTTTCATGAATGGAGACAGTGCCAGGAGTTTTCCTAGCAAGCTGGAACCGCCCAAGTCAGAGCCATTACCAACCTTTAACCAGTTCAGTCCCATCTCCAGCCCTGAACCTGAGGATGCCATCAAAGACAACGGGTTTGGGATGAAGCCCAAGCACTCTGACAGTTATTTTCCACACCCTCCTGGGTGCGGGTCTGTGGGTGGCTCAGACTTGGAAGCTCTGGGTAAGTTTCCAGTCCCAGAGCTGCATATGTTTGATCACTTTTGTAAGAAAGAAGCAAAGCCAGAACCTCTGCTCTTGGGGGGCCAGCAGGAACATGAGCTAAGTGGGCAGAAGGCAGTAGAACCTCACAAGGAACTGGATGCCAGTCGATTGTTTGGGGAAGCTTTGGAATTCAACAGCCACCCCAGCAACAGCATCGGAGAGCCCAAAGGGCTTGCCCCAGAGCTTGGTACCTGCTCATCAGTACCCCCTCGGCAGCGTCTTAAGCCGGCTCACTCCAAACTGTCCTCTTGTGTTGCAGCCTTGGTGGCACTGCAGGCCAAAAGAGTGGCCAGTGCCACGAAAGAGGATCAGTCTGGTCATACAAAGGATCCCTCAGGGCCTACTAAAGAGGGTTCTAAAGGCAGCCCCAAAATGCCCAAGTCACCAAAGAGTCCCCGGAGCCCTCTGGAGGCCACTAGAAAAAGTATCAAGCCATCCGACAGCCCTCGGAGCATCTGCAGTGACAGCAGCAGCAAAGGCTCCCCTTCTGTGGCTGCCAGTTCCCCACCAGCAATTCCCAAAGTCAGAATCAAAACCATTAAGACATCATCAGGGGAAATCAAACGGACTGTCACAAGGATCCTGCCAGACCCTGATGATCCAAGTAAGTCCCCTGTTGGGTCACCTCTAGGGAGTGCCAGTGCCGAGGCCCTGAGCGAGATGCCAGGGGATGAGGGCACTCCCCTGCCTGCAGAGGAGCACTTTCCTGAGGTGGACACAAATGCAGGGAGTCCTCAGGGTGACAGGAAAGGGGATGAGAGCATGACCAAGGTGAGTGAGTCTTCGTCTTCCTGCTGCAGCTCTGGGCCCCGGGTTCCAAAGGGGACTGCCCCAGGCTCATACATGGGCAAAAAGCAACAGCAAAGCTCAGCACTGCAGGCCTCCAGCCTGACTTCTGCCAACCTCCTGCCCAAAGCCGTCCACTTGGCTAATCTGAACCTGGTCCCCCACAGTGTTGCTGCATCAGTGACGGCCAAGTCCTCGGCACAGAGGCGGAGCCAGCCACAGCTCACGCAAATGTCAGTGCCCCTTGTCCACCAGGTGAAGAAGGCCGCCCCACTGATTGTGGAGGTCTTCAACAAGGTCCTCCACAGCGCCAACCCTGTGCCCCTCTATGCACCAAACCTCAGCCCACCTGCGGACAGCAGGATCCACGTTCCGGCCAGTGGGTACTGCTGCCTGGAGTGTGGAGACGCATTTGCCTTAGAGAAGAGCCTGAGCCAGCACTATGACCGGCGGAGCGTCCACATTGAGGTGCTGTGCACTCTGTGCTCTAAGACACTGCTCTTCTTCAACAAATGCAGCCTGCTCCAGCACGCCCGTGACCATAAGAGCAAGGGGTTTGTCATGCAGTGCTCCCAGCTGCTCGTGAAGCCCATCTCTGCGGACCAAATGTTTGTGTCAGCTCCCATGAACTCCACAGCACCAGCAACCCTGGCTCCCTCATCCTCCCCCAAACCTGGTCTCACTTCGGGCAGTGCCAGCCCTCCTCCTCCAGCCATGCCACTCTACCCAGACCCTGTGAGGCTTATCCGGTACGGACTCAAGTGTTTTGAATGTCACAAGCAGATGCAGGACTACATTGCCCTGGCTGCACATTTCCAGAGGATGACAGAGGAAACCGAGGGGCTGGTAAGCAGACCCCTCACTCTGGTGGGTGTCAGGCCCTGGCTCGTGATCTGATATGGAGGGAAATGCTCATTGATTGGGGGCAGTGGTAAGATCTCAGGAGTCCTTGGGGAGGATGTCTGACTTGATGGCAACTCACCTGAATAGATAACACTTAGTGTTTATTAAGGAGACCTAGTGGTGCAGTGGTTAAGTGCTCAGCTATTAATGGAAAGTAGGTGTTTCGAACCCACCAGCCACTCCACGGGAGAAAGGTGAAGCATTCTGCTTCCATAAAGATTTATAGCCTTGGAAACCCTGTGGGCAGTTTCCCTTTGTCCAATAGGGTCACTATGAGTCGGAGTCAAATTGACAACAGTGGGTTGGCAGGGGGTGATATTTATTGGAAGAGGTGATATTTATTGTGAGAGGTCTCCCCACAACTGAGGGGAGACCCTGATTAATGACTGTGTCCTCACGCTCCACTCAACTCCTGCTCCAATGGACCATCAGGAGAATTGTTGGAGGCCTTGGGTTAGGTCTCTGCTGGTCACCTTCTGGTCTCTGGGAGGAGTCAGAATAGTCTGGGTATGTTCCCTGAGGATGCAGGGGCAGAGGTAGGTGAGTCCCTGCTCCACTTCTCAGTTCGTACTTCTAACAGCTGTGTTTTCAGTGTGCCGCTGTTCTACCCCGCAGTGGACACAACTGTTTTTGCTGAGTCCCTTTGGGTAAACTGTGACAGGGCCAGCAACAGACCTAATGTGGAAGGAAGGGAAGTAGCCTGACTTGTGAACCTGGGCAAAGGCTCTTGGGGCCTCCTTTCTAAGCATTTATTCTTATCTGCTTGTTCCCATGCTTGGTTATATTTGAGAACTAGTCCCCCCACCCCCACCAGGTGGTTCACGATTTAGTCAAGCCCACCTCCTTACTATGCCTCCCTAAGCTGGGACAACAGAGGCCTGAGAGGAAAGAGAAATGGCTATTTTTGCTTAAACTCAGCTGGGGGCCTATGCATCTGTTGGTGACCAACAAGCTTTGCCCATGCTTTCTCAGTGCCCACAGTGTACACAGGGGCTCTGTGACAAGTGTGGGGGTGGGGGTACCAGTTGTTGGGGGAAAAATTTGTACCTTTCCTCCAGGAGCTCTTAGTGGTTTAGCAAGGGCAGGAGTCAATGCCCAAATAGCTACAATGTAAAGATTGATAGACTGAAACTGGTTGCCATGAAATCAGTTCCAATTTAGGACAACTTCATGTGTGTCAGAGTAGAACTGTGTTCCGTAGGCTTCTCAGTGGCTGATTTTTGGGAAGTAGAGCGCCAGTCTTTCTTTCAAGGCACCTCTGGGTGGACTTGAACTTTTAGTCTTTCAGTTAATATCTGAGCACATTAGCTGTTTATAGCACCAGGAACTCCAGGATTGGAACTACAGTTGGGGTATAAGTACAGAGACATGGGTACCTCAGAATGGCAAATTCATGGTGACTTGAGGCCTAGGGAATGTGCTGTTTATTGGAGGTGATATTTAAGTTGGGTCTGCAAGGATAAATTTGGAAGAGGGGGAGGGACAAAGCTATTCCAAGTATAGGGAACAAAGGTATGTGGAAATGTAAAATGGGTTTGAGGAACAGAGTTGCTGATAATGAGAGTGGCTTTGAGGGTGTCGGGGCAGGAACAAAAGATGGAGTTTGGTGGGCCTGTGGGGCTTCTGCAGAGGACCGAGACCCTAAAAGGGGACCAGCAGTTTGCATTTTCCTTCCAGAGAGTCAGGTGGAGTGTGATGGTCCTGGGCCTTTTTCCCAGGGCTTCAGTGTTCTTCCTGTCAGTCAGGTTGAGTTGGGCCAGAATTACTTTCTCCACACTATTCTTCACCCACCTACATTGCCCTGGCTGCACATTTCCAAAGAATGAGAGAGGAAACTGAGGGGCTGGATCCTGGCCAGCACCCTTCTCATCCTGCATCTTCTCTGTGTCCTTCTCCTTTAGTAGGAGCTAGACAAGAGAGCTTCCCAGACAGGAAAAGAGGGAGTACTCAGGAAGGCTGTCAGACGTTTTTCACCCTAGCTTGCAACCCTCACAAAATCTGTCGATAATTATGGCCTCCAAGTCTCAAGGAAAGGAGTAAGACTTGATCTCTGGGATCAGAGACTAGCCTAGATGGTGGTTGGGCTTTGGTTTCCTGAGATATAGTGCCCAGGGAGGGGGGTGGACAGGTAGGATGTGGGTTTGGTTTCACTCCAGAATAGGGACGGTGCATTTGGGGCCTTTTGTCTTCTTCCTAAGAGTTTGCACCTGAATGGAATATGCCTCCCTCTGTGGTGATGAAAGGGATCTTTTCATCCTTCCCCTTGCATTCCAAGCCACCTTGTTGGGGCAGCATGTCAGGACAGAGAGATTCTGTTTTTTGTTTTTAAGGTTTACTTTAACTATCATGTCATTATCATAGGTAATGAAATTAACAATAATTCCTTAGTATCACCTCATACAAGTCTATATTCACATTTTCCTAATGTCTTTTTACAGGTGGGCTTGTTTGAATCAGGATCTAACTTTGGACCATGCTATGTTTGTTTATCAAATCTTAAATCTTCTTTGTCTACAACAATACTCCTTTCCACTCCACACATCCCCCACTCTTTTTTTCCTATGCTGTTGACTTGTTGAAGAAATAGGGTCCTGTTGAAGAAATGTGTCCTGAGAATTTTCAGGACAATTCTGGGTTTGATTGGTTGCTTCTTCATGTAACTGATTTGTTCTTTTATACCCCAGATTTCTCCAGTAGACTGGATGTTAGTTCTAAAGATTTGATTAGATTCAGGCTCAGTTTTGAGGGGAGCATGAAGATAGGTGGTGCTGTGGTCTTCATATATCAGGACTTCAGGAGGCACAAAGTGTCTGTCTCACTTTCAGGATGCTTAACTTGATCAGTGAGTTCAGATTGTAATGTTCTGATCCTTTCATTATTAAGCTCCTCACTTTCTACCTAATGATTTTAGTCTCCATTAATAAACCAGTTGCCATCAAGTTGATACCAACTCACGGTGACCCCATATGTGTCAGAGTAGAACTGTGCTCCATAGGATTTTCAGTGGCTGATTTTTTGGAAGTGGATTGTGAAGACTTTCTTTTGAGATGCTTCTGGGTGGACTTGAATCTCCAACCTTTTGGTTAGCAGCCAAGCACTTTGATCATTTGTGCTACCCAGTAACTAACTCCATTTGTAAATAATCATTGCTTGAATCAGTAAATTTATTAGGAATTCCAAGAATGTTTTTCTAATTTTATCACTTCTTTTTCATTTATTAGCTGGACTTCTATATAGAATATTTTTCCTTAATCCATGAGGGCTATTTGGTTACACTGAAATATGATTTCTGTTGGAAAGTGGGATAAACACTTAGTTTGTTTCCTTTAATTAACAGGTTGCAGAGTAGTGAGTTGATGCCCTCATAATTTCAGATGGTGTTGAAAATGTCCTTCTTCTGTTATTTTTAATTTTAGTATCATAATGAGCTCAGTGATTTTGATATATTAAGCATGTTTAAATATTTATACTTTTTGATTTTGATGTTCAAGTTACCCCATCTTTGGTCAGTGGGAATCCCTTAAGTTATCCTGTGTCCTTTTGACATGAGCTCATTAACCCTTGCTTCAGCCCCAACAAGGTGACCTGGCCTATGTTTTGCACTAAACCTAGAATCAGCTGTATCTCCACGGAGCCAGATTTCTTTTAATGAAGAATCGCATTCTGGCACCAAAGATGCTCATTACTACTGGATTTGTTGTTTCTAGCACTTTTAAATGGTCAGTTTGAGTAAGTACGTATTTCCAAAAAGAAGAAAGAAAAAGTTTATACTGGTATTCAAATTAAAAATTGTAATGTTTTTATGTAACTTCTTTGATTTATGCTGAAAATCTTGGTTCCTAAGATTTTCCTACATCTATTGAATTATACTATAATATACCTATAAAAGTTTCAAAATATCAAAAGCCGATATTATTTCTAACATTCAGACAGCTGTATGAAGTTTAAGGTATACTTGCAGGGTTTTTTTTTTTTTTTTTGCTCTTAGACTATTTCACAGTAAGAACATGTAAGTCAAAATACTGTGTTTTACAGATACTACTGGGAATAATTCTTTTTCTTTCTATGGTTATGTGACCAACTTAATATATAAGACACTTAATATATAGTTAGGTTATTTGTTTCTGGTTTTCAGTTTTTAGGCAATGCTTTTGTTTATTTAATTTAACTTTATTATTTTTTAAGGTATCTAAAACATTTACATGCTTCCAAAGTTAAAACTATATAACAAGATACTCTCAGGCTTCCATTCCTGTCTCTTCACCTTGTTCCCTCTTCCCTGTGGTTAGCATTTTTTTAAGAAATTTTTGGTTTATCCCTCCTTTGCCCCTTTTTTTGCATTGTGAGTAGGAGGATGACAACTACCTCTGCTGAGCTGGACCAAGGCCTGGAGTTACTAGAAGAGTTCTGGCAGTGCAGTGAGCTCTCAGAATTTAAGAAGTGCCTGAGGGCTCTGTGAAGGAAAAGTTGGCTCAATGCTAAACCAGAGGGAAAAAGCGCATAAAGTCCTAGAGGACAGGACTCATGTTTGGGAAGATAGAGTCAGGTTCTCTCTCTGAAGAGAGGTGGAGGCAAACTTTGCTTGAGTGTCAGTATGATACACTCTTAATGTGGCCTGGGCATGTCACAAGTGTGTAGGGACTTGTAAGTGAGAGTGGTTGGGGGAGAGGGTTAGTCTACCCCATACCCTAGGAAAGCCAGGCAGTGCTGGGTCTGCTGTGCCTGTGTGATTTGCTTTCTTGGTGTTCTTTCCTAGACTTGCCAGGTATGCCAGATGCTGTTGCCCAACCAGTGCAGTTTCTGTGCCCACCAACGGATCCACGCACACAAGTCCCCCTACTGCTGCCCAGAGTGTGGGGCTCTCTGTCGTTCCGCTTATTTCCAGACCCATGTAAAGGAGAATTGCCTGCACTATGCCCGCAAGGTGGGCTACAGGTGGGTGCTGCCTGGCTCACTGTCCTGTGACTGCCCAATTACTGGTCCTCTTCTTGAATCAGAACTCATTTCAGATTGAGATTTGGTCTTAGGAGGTCAAGGCCCCAGTCTAATAGGACCAGGGACATTGATTGGTCCACAAGCAGACATTTTTATAGAGGATAGGAAGAACAAAGAAGAGGAGAATAAGGAGTTTGAAAATATTAAATACCAAAGAAACAGTTTTGAAGGGAAAGGTTTTAGGGAGATTGTTGTTATTGTAAGGTACTATTGAGTCAATTTTCTATAAATAGTGACCGAGTATGACAAGAGTAGAACTGTCCCATAGGGTTACCTGTTGTTGTTGTTGTTGTTATATGCTGTGGAGTTGGACCCAACTCATAGTGACCCCTCCTTGGGTTTCTGAGGTGGTATCACTACGGAAGTAGATTGCCCAACCTTCCTTCCGAGGAGTGGGTTTCCTAGGTAAGCTGTAATCTTTACGGGAACATGTCACCAGGTCTTTCTCCTGTGGAACTGCTGGGTAGGTTTGACCTGCCAACTTTAGGTTAGCAGCTGAGCACTTAACCACCCGTTAGTGCCACCAGGGTTTAGAACATACATAACATTCACTTTGTCAGTTTGGTAATAAAAGTATATACATATAACTTGCTCACAAAGTTTATCATGTTTTATGTATTAAATTTAAAGTGCTATTTTGATAATAAAATTACTAATTGCAGTGCTTCCACGTTCTCAGTTTTTTAGAAGCTGGAGCTGCAAGACATCAAACTCAGAGGACTCTGATAGGTCTGTTATGGGTGATTTTTGTCATTTTGTGAGAAACAGTCAAAACCTAAGAATGGAAAGAATGACCAGCCTCACAGTAAAACCAAGAGATTTTCCTTTTTTTAGTCTGGGTTGCCTATATTGCATCAGACATACTTAAGCAAGCAGTCATTTTCAGGAAAAAGATCAAAGTTAGAGGAGAAAACATCCTCTAAAGCTTATTGATCTGTGACTTTTATATCTACCCAGCCAGGTCTCCTTTGCTAACTTTTTATATTTGGGGATTTCTATATTATCTGATGTTCTACTTTATCACTTTCACGTTTGAGAATTAGTTTTGCCCAAATTTAATAAAGTTTTCTGTCCTTTGGTATTTCAAAAAAGTTATTAGCTTAATTAATTCATGAACAGTTATCAAGTACCTATTATTGTCTTTAGCATGGTGTTAGACACTCAGCATATAAAGATGTTTATGACACAGTCCTGCCCTTAAAGGAGCAGCATCAGTCTGGTAGGTTACAAATATATGCACGCAAGGTATTGTAACTCTGAGCAGGAAGTCCCATAATAGAGGAATGGTGAGGAATAGTGTAATTCTATTGGAGAGGGCCAAGAAAGCCTCATGAGGGAGCTGTTAGGAGGTTTTCAGACAGAAGAAAGGGGGAGAGTGTATCTGACAAGATTCAGGCAGGGATGAGAGCACTCACAGTAGTGGTTATGGGAATGATAAGCAATTCTATAGAAACGTATCAGAATGAACTGGGGTAAGTGGTGAAAAATGAGACTAGGTTGTTGGCAGAGGCCAGGCCATATAAGACCTTGTATTCCTTGTCAGACATTTGGACTTTATCCAATGGACAGTGAGGAGCCACAGAAAGATTTCCAGGAGGGGAGTGAACCAGCTATATCTCTGTGTTTTAGAAGACTCATTCTGAGAAGAGAGGCTAGAGACTGTCTTACCTGGGCTATTACACTCTCAACCAGTGAGGGCTTCAGCTCAGTTGTGGCTATGAGGATAGAGAGGAGAATGTAGATTTGAGAGAAATTTAGGAATTAGAAGCTTCCGGACTTAATGATAGCTTGTGTATGAGAATGAGGAATGAGGAGGTGTCAGTGATGACTCCCAGGTTTCTGCATTGGCATAAATTAATTTCTTTCACATTATGAAGGATGGAGAATCTAAAGTGCATTGAGAAGCAATTATACAAACAGGATTTTACAAAGCTTTTGCCACCATGTTGCAGAAAAGCATTGCTTGGCAGTGTCCCAGGCTACATTTTAAACCAAACACCTGAACATCCTGTTACATTTGAGAATACCTTTCTAACTTGACTTTAGTGTGTGCTTGCTTGTTCCAAGGTCAAATCCCATCCAAGAAGTTTTCAATACTGTGGATGGATTGATAGCAAATTTGTGTGTGTGTGTAATTTTAATAAAATCTTTTACTTTATTCTGGAAGAGTAAAAAGAAACAGTATCTCAAAAGCAATTCAGTTTATCAAGCCTTTTTTTGTAAGGAATGTCACATAAAAATGTATTGTGATTTAACCAAAGTGATTATTGAAGAAATTGATATTAAAAGTGTCAGTGATCTATGAGTGAACTGAAAAGATACAGCATCAATACAGTGCTGACATACTTTGGCAACATCGCAGGTTTGGTTTCAGGCCACTGCAGTAAAGTGGATATTGCAATAAAGTGAGTCACGTGAATTTTTTTGGTTTCCTAGTGCGTATAAAAGTTACATTTACAAAATACTATAGTCTGTTAAGTGTGCAATAGCATCATGAAAAAGTTTGAAATATTGTATTACTAAAATGTGACACAAAGACATGAAGTGAATTCATTGTTTTGAAAAACGGCACTGATAAATTTGCTCCACACGGGATTGTCACAAATCTTCAGGTTTTTTTTTTCCTTAAAAAAAAGAGCAGTATCTGCAAATCACAATAAAATGAGGTATGCCAGTATTCATTATACTTAAGCCTTCAGTTCTTTTTAATTTTTTGGCAACAGCTTTATTAAGATATGATTCATGCACCATACAATCCACCTGTTTAAAGTGTACAATTCAGTGGTTTTTAATCTATTCACAGAATTGTTTAACCATTACTACAATTAATTTTAGAACATTTTCATCACCCCAAAAAGAAACCCCAACTGTTTAGCCCTAGGTGACCAGTATTTTACTTTCTGGCTATAGATTTGTCTCTTCTGGACATTTCATATAAATAGAATCATATAATATGTGATCTTAGCTTGTTTTCAAGATTTATCCATATTGTAGCATGTATCAGTACTTCATTCTTTTTATGGCCAAATAATATTCCATTGTACAGATATACTACATTTTGTTTATCCATCTGTTGATGGGCACTTCATTTGTTTTTACTTTTTGGCTATTATGATTAATGCTGCAATAAACACTAGTCTACAAGTATCTGTTTGAATCCCTGCTTTCAAGTCTTTTGAGTATATACCAGGGGGTGGAATTGCTGGCCATATGGTAATCTTAACCCAAAAAAAACCTAGTTTTCCAAAGTAGCTGTACCATTTTTATATTCTTACTAATGTGTAGGAGCTCTGGTAACATAGTGCCTAAGGCATGTGTGCTAACCAGAAGGCTGGCGGTTCAAACCCACCAGCCACTCCTCAGAAGGAAGGTTGGACAATCCTACTTCTGTAGTGATACTGCCTTGGAAACCCAAGGAGGGGTCGCTATGAGTCGGGTCCGACTTGACGGCACATAACAACAACAATAGTGTGTATGAGGGTTTCGATTTTTCCACATCCTCATCAATACTTGTCTGACTTTTTGATTATAGTCGTCCTAGTGGGCATGAAGTGGTACCTCATTGTGGTTTAGATTTGCATTTCCCTGATAGCTAATGCTGTTGAGAATCTTTTCATGAGCTTATTGTCCATTTGTAGATCTTCTTTGGAGAAATGTCTATTCAGAGCCTTTGCCCATTTTTTAATTGCATTGTCCTTTCATTATTCAGTTGTAAGAGTTCTTTATATATCCTGGATATAAGTCCCTTATCAGATATATGATTTCCAGATATTTTCTCCCATTCTTATGTATATTGGTGTTTTTTAGTAAATTTTCAAAAGATATGTTCTATTCCATTAAACTCTGTTACAAAGTTTTACAATGTTATTTTGTTTTGTATTATTTTTATTTTCTCTTAAAGAAAATGTAAAAAGCCTATACATGTTTTTTCTTTCTTTTTCCTCCTGTTCTTCTTTTTCTTTTTTATTGTGCTTTAGGTGCAAGTTTACAGAGCAGAGTTTGTTCTACATTCAATAGTTTGTGTACACTTAGTTTCATTCCCCATTTACCATCCCCAATCCTAACCCAGTCTCCTCCCCTCCCTGCCCAGTAAACTCCCCCCTCCGTGCCCCTCATAGTTATGAATGCCTGCCTATGTGTCCTGAATTTCCTCTGTGCAAATGTTGCCCCTCCCATGGTTGATTGCTCCAAGGGATGCATTTCCATAGAGTATGTGGGTGCATCACCCCTGGGTTCAGTGGTCTGCATGTACATCTTGTTTACCACTGGGCTGAGAGCCGCCAGCCCCTGGGAGTGAGTCTTACTCCAGGCCCAAAATGTATCCCAGGGTCATAGTACTGGGGGTCTCAACAGACTCCATCTGACCAGTAATTCTGGTCATTATTGTGTTTTTGGATTTTGTTCCATGTTTTTCCTCCCACTCTATCCAGGATCTCCAGTTTTGATCCTTTCATGAGTGGTTGGCATTGGTAGCTGGGCACCATCTTATTCTTCTGGTCTTGAGGGCCATTGTATCCTAGGGCTGATTGCTTCCAAATGCCCTTGGTTTTTTTTGTTTGTTTGTTTATTTTTATTTTTTGGCACTCTTCTTCATTTCCAATGATAGACCATTAGCTGCATTTAGATGGCCGCTTGAAAGCTTTTAAGACTGCAGTCGCTTCTCACCAATGTAGGATAAGAAACAAGATTTTTACGTATTTTGTTGTGCCATTTGAGTCTGGTGTCCCCCATTACTATGGTCCTGAGTCAGTAGATCCATTGGATCTCTCTCCCACAGTGTCTGGCTGTCTGTGAGGGATTACTCTATGTCTGTCTTCTGTTGTTTCTGTAACGATTGTGGGTAATTTGTATCACTGGTATCTGTGCAAGATTAGCTTCCACTGAATCTAACCTTGGTCTCAAGTATAATCCTGTTCACTGACCCCCATCTCATTTTCTCA